GTCCCCTGGATTAGTGTTCAATGTACGATTTAAAGAATGGGCCTTGAATACAAGTTTTCTAGCTGTCATGATATTATAGAAGTTGTTTTTTCCTTTAAGGACACCCATGGAATACCAGTTCCACAGTTGAAAGAGGGCAGGGTGATGAGCATTAAAATCTCCCGCTAGAATTGATAGTGACATATTTCCTGCTTAATATCCTATGTAGAGAAGTGACTCTATATATTGTTGTCTCGGGGAAAATATCCAGTTCCTATCACTAGTTGTCCATGAGACGATGTCATTTCTATTGCAAGATGTTATCTTCCTCAACATTAAAATTTCTAAATGATAAGGCCTAATTTAACTAAGATTGCTACAGCCACTAAAAATCCTCTCGATTTCTCCACAGTACAGTAACGCACGTAATTTTAATATGTTGATCAACTCTTGCAAGCTGTCCTCGTTCAAAAGTATACATGCGGGATTGTAATTATGTAGTTCAACCTCAAGAAGGGTAACGGTTTATAAAGAAATGTTGAACATTAAGTTGGAAATTGTAATTCACCCATTATCTCTTGTACTGCGGTCTGAACGCCTGCAATGTAGTGTCATGTGGGTATCACACACTATCCCAGCTGACTCGTCAAGGGGAGGAGGGAACTTCCCGTAGTCGCTTGTGTATTAAAAATGCCATCATCTTCCCTAGAGGTAGTAATATTAAACAGATTCATTAGAATCGTTAGAGTCATCATCAGAAAACGAGGTGTGATATTCCACATTTACAGGAAGCAGAGGCTCGTGAGAGTTAATGGGAGAACTGTGTAGGCTCCACGGGAAAATTTATAAGGTAGGCAAGGTGAAGTTATCCTGGGAAAGTTTCCGTTCAACAGGATCAGCTTCAATAGCGGGGAAGAGTAAGCACCAATTTCCGGGAGCATTGTTATGTTCAGTTGTTTGAACTTAACGGTGGGGGAGTTGACAACCTGGGTAAGGCGAGGTGGGCGATCCCCTGGGCCAGGGATGACTTAGGTTTATTTAGATGTAGAGTAAGGTACTACTTCTTGTTAGAGAAGCTGGGTCATAATAACCTTCACATTTTCTGGGATAGTGATGGGTAGTGATCCCAATACAATAACAATCATTTTAAAACCTAAGCAGAGTTGATGTCACCACCTGTCTATGTCTTTGGCCAGCATTTACTTATTTTTTGCTCTCGTCATTCCCCGCTGTGGATACCTGAGAAAATAGATAAGACCCTGAACCTTGTTTGTATGCGGTTGTGTATGTGTAGGTTAAGGGTTTAATTTTGGGGCGCTCCCAGAGGGGCATAATTCCAAACATGAACCGATTGTAGAGACCTGAGGAGTCCAACTTGATCCTGGCAGAGCTGGGAAGGCAGTTTTGGGACATCGTTGGAGTGCCTGGGGAGTGGTTCTTCTGAAGTGGACAGTTTCTTGGGCTTCAATAATTTTCTGCATTTCTTTTCCTTTCAGACAAATAGCAAAACAGCATGATGTTTCCGTTGCAGAGGACAACTTATTTGGGTTAATTTGTATTATTACAATCTTCGATAAGATTGTTGCCCAGAGCAAATGCTACAAATTTGCCCTTGAGTACTGCATTTGTTTGGTGTTATGACCAAAGGCATAACATTTAAAACATTGTGTCACACTGACAAACGTTCAAGAGAGATTTGGTCAGGTGTACAACACTGGTGGGCCAAAACATTTGAAGCAATTATTGACACACAAGTTTGGCCTCCCTCAGGTGTCTCAAGTATTAATTTTTAAGGTTTACCTTGTTGTTAGTATGAGGAGAATTTATGTCTTCTACAGCCTAAATATCAGAATTCTCTGTATTAATTCCTCAACAATTCATTCACAGTGCTATGTATCATAAAACGGTTGATTCTGGCCACAAACACAGTCCTCAGAGCTTGATAGCCTCTCAGGTGCAACTGGGGTAAACACCAGAAGTCCTTCAGTTTGTTCAAGGACATCATGCTTCAGCAGTGAAAGTAACCCTTTCTTCCGAAGAGAGAGGAGAAGTACTGCTCCAGCGTGGTTTGAAAAACATCACTGGAGCAACAGTTGAGTTCGAGCAAATACATTGTTAGAATTTCTTTCATGGACATTTGATTACCATCTATACGAAATCTTACACGTATCCTCGCCAAGATGTCTAGGAAGGAACATCTGGCAGAGGAGTTCTTAACAAAAGAAGGATCTTTCCCTATATTAATCTTACATCCTATTTCAGCTGACTTATGAAGGTCAGCCCCTGAGATAGCCTACCCTCGAGTAGTGAGGGGAAAGGGCCCAAGCAAAGAATCGGCCGGATTTTAAAAACCATCACGGGCTACCGGATGGTCAAAATGACTTGTGTTAACTCGCCCAAAGCGAAGTTAGGCACGAAAAAGAAGAAGATAGGAAAGTCAGAAGGATAGCAATAATTTAGTGTGTTTAGTGTGTGGGCCAGTGTTGAATGGTTTTGGGTGAGGAGAAGGGGAAGGATGGGGGATGGGGATGAGAGGGGGTGAAACAAACAAGCAAGTCACCTGCCATTACCGCCATGTAATGGGAATGGGCCGAAGTGACTGCAAGCCAAGTTTCCTCTCAGCTCTGGTGAGAATTACTCAGGATAACTCAAGAAAAATCTCGAGCAACGTGTATTCAGAGTTTGCTCAGCTTAAGAGCAGAACGACGACGTCTTCTCTCCACGGTGGACTGGCTGCTACGCTTTTTTCATTTCTATTTCTTTTTCATTTTTTTTTTATTTTTTCACTCGGTAGTGAGAAGACCTAACATGAATGAGAACCTCCAATGCTGCAAACCACCAACAAAAACCTCACCATTCATCCTATCGGACGAAATAATACAGAAGATCAAGATCAAACGACCGAGAGCATATCGTTATACCTACACTGGAAAGATATAACTTTTTATACGACTCCTGACCAAGAACCCACCATGAATGTCGACACTTGTACGAGAAAATTACACGACAGAACAGTCAAGTTTTACAAATACGTAAGGAACCCACTACCTCCTCACAACACTCCAAGATGACCTTTGACCAGTTACAAGCCGAATCAGCATTTCGACCCAAGATTACAAGACTACTCATCGTTTCCTTCCAACAACTGCACAACATAAGGAATGCCTCCCATACCCTGACTGACCACTTTAAAACGGCCACCTGACCATCCAAGAACCCTAGCCTCCCTTGGACCACGCCTCCAGCTTCTGCCAGCCGCCAATCAACATCAAGATGCAGCAATCTACCATCCAGCAAGTTGCAGTCAGCACCCGCAGAGTTCCTGCTGTCTTCTATGTCGTCTTCGTTATTGTTTATCCAGGCTTAGCTGCTGGGTCTAGTCCTGACTCTTCTCTCTTCGACTCAAGACATTCCTCTCACCATCTATTCTTCGCACTGTCCCCACTTGCCCCTCGCCCCTAGTGGGCCCTTACCTGTGAGTCCAGTTCAGTTCAGTTCAGGAAATATGCAAGTCATTCTGATGGAATCATAATTCACATGTAATATACATGTGTGTACAATGTATATAGAAGTCATTATTTTGTATTAATTCTTAGGTAAATTTCATGTCAAGTATATTTAAAATTTACATGCATATTGTAATATATTTTGAATGATACAAAGTATATTGTTGTGTAATCTTGTATTTCGTAAAAGGATAAAAAGCATAGGTTGAGGGATATTTTGTAAGATCAAAGATAAATGTGTTTGTTTTTGCAAGTATAAACAATTCTCTTTTTCTGTGGAGAACTAGACGAGGCTTCTTATATTTTATAAAATTATTGCAATGTTTTAAAATAAAACAATAAAATATGGAGTACATGAAACTGTTAAAGTAAATGTTCTTCCTTGTGGTTTAGCGCAACTTTTTGACTATATTAATAACAATAAAGTAAAATTGGGGGAGGGGGGGGGTGAGTCACCTGCTTCGTACTGTGGTCAGGTGTATATCAGCACCATTATGACTAGTGTTACTTTGTGCACTGGAACAGTCACTGATGATGTCTCTTTTTATACATATTTATATGATTTTTATATACGTGACTATATATGTATATTTGTATGCTTTGTTTTAAATAAAATATAAAAAAAAATCCATTTACCTGACTTTCCTTGAGTTTATAGATATATTTGGCGTTTCCTGCTATGATTCTCTCACTGTACACTGGTCAGCTGAATATAGGTCAGCTACTAAAACATTAACCTTGACTGTTTAACTATTCACTTCTTTCCCACGACTGGCACTGAGGGATAACCGACCTATAACCTTGGAGTTTTGTACTGTTGATTTGACGATGTCTCCTGTGTTTCCCTCTGGTTAGCACTGGTACAGGTGATATGATGGTGGTACAGATATGATGCTACTGTCAACAGATGAACGTCAGTAAAGATGAGAATTTCACTTCGCTAGTTGTACGTCTGGTGGAGGAAGTGTGCCAAGGCTGCATCAACTTGAGGGAGGGTGCCATTGCTATGTCAGCTGGAAAGAAGGGTGCATAGCTGCATTAGTTGGAAACAGGGTCCTATGTCAGTATCCCCTGAAGAGTGGGTGCAGTTACTGCAAATGGAGGATGGGTGTCTTCAATGCATCAACAGGATGGAGGATTGCATCAGTAGGACAGTGGATGCCATGGCTTGGTCAGCAGGATGAAAGACTGTGTAAGCTGGATGGAGGATGCTATATGCTACCACATATTTATTTCATTTTGATAATACTACCATGCTAGTATCTTCGTTATTAGCTAAAACGAAGCTATTGGATCGTTGTACTATTATCCTATTCGTTTTTCATCATATGTTTGTAATTTTAACTAATGAGAAATGGGTATGTGTATTCATATATGTCTTGTAGTGGTCTAATTGATATATATAAGTACGTAACTATCATTCATGGTGCCATAGACACAAAGCATGTCGTCACAGAGACTTGCTTCTATCCAACCAATCACAACCCTTTTTGGCAGAACTCGAAGGTGGCGCCACTTGGGTATTGTCGACTGCTATTGGCTGGGAGCTCCTGGAGTATTCAGTACTGTCTGACTTGTTGAAGGAGAAGCATTTTGGATCTCACTCTCTCGCTATTTCACCAATTTACACCACTCCAGAATGGCGGTAAGTTACTGAATGTGTTTCCAGTGCATTATTGAATGTTTGAACCTCATTTTGAGATGCAATTGAATTGCCTGAGGCATTGAAAAGTAACATAAACATAAACGTGTTTAATGGATCAAGGGCTCAAAGGAAAAGGGATTACATCGTGCCCGAGTTACATGATGACAATGACACTAATGGGGAAGTGGATTCTGGAGATGAATATGAGGAACAGCAAGATGCTTCGGCTTCAAATGAAGATGAACATGAAGATTTGTCTAAGAGAAATGAGCAAGTTAGTGTAAAACGAAGAAATTTATGCAGATAACTTCTTTACCTGTTTGCCTCTAGTGAAATATCTGCACGCTACATTCAACTGCACGTACACAGGCACTGCAAGGGACAGCAGAATTGGAAAACCACCACTTATGTCTGTCAGTGACATTGGGAAAAAAAGTGAAAAGGGGTGCTATGGATTGCTGTTCATCGGATGGTGTCCTTGCTGTACGTTGGAAAGACAGTAAGGTTGTTACTTTACTGACTAATGATACGGGCATCAACCCTGTGACAAAGATAAAGAGGTACAGCAAGAAGACCAAACAAAAGGTGGATGTTGACTGTCTTGCAGTGATAAACAATTATAAGGCCCATATTGGAGGCATAGATAAGAATGAGTCAGGTAGGGCAAGGGTACTTGACTGAGCCAGGTAGAGCAAGGGTACTTGACTGAGTCGGCTGCAGAGAGGGTATCCTAGCTGGGTAAACTGGAGGGATAGTATTTTAGCTGAGTCAACTGGAAGGAGGTTACCATGGCTGGTCTGCTGGAGGGAGGTTACCATGGCTGGTCTGCTGGAGGGAGGTTACCATGGCTGGTCTGCTGGAAGGAGGTTACCACGGCTGGTCTGCTGGAGGAGGGTTACCCTGACTGGTCTGCTGGAGGAGGGTTACCCTGACTGGTCTGCTGAAGGGAGGTTACCACGGCTGGTCTGCTGGAGGGAGGTTACCACGGCTGGTCTGCTGGAGGGAGGTTACCACGGCTGGTCTGCTGGAGGAGGTTACACGGCTGGTCTGCTGGAGGAGGTTACCACGGCTGGTCTGCTGGAGGGAGGTTACCACGGCTGGTCTGCTGAGAGGAGGTTACCACGGCTGGTCTGCTGGAGGGAGGTTACCACGGCTGGTCTGCTGGAGGGAGGTTACCACGGCTGGTCTGCTGGAGGGAGGTTACCACGGCTGGTCTGCTGGAGGGAGGTTACCACGGCTGGTCTGCTGGAGGGAGGTTACCACGGCTGGTCTGCTGGAGGGAGGTACCACGGCTGGTCTGCTGGAGGGAGGTTACCACGGCTGGGTTCTGCTGGAGGGAGGTTACCACGGCTGGTTCGGAGGTTACCACGGCTGGTGCAGAGGGAGGTTACACACGGCTGGTCTGCTGGAGGGAGGTTACCACGGCTGGTCTGCTGGAGGGAGGTTACGAAGGATGGTCTGCTGGAGGGAGGTTACCACGGCTGGTCTGCTGGAGGGAGGTTACCACGGCTGGTCTGCTGGAGGGAGGTTACCACGGCTGTCTGCTGGAGGGAGGTTACCACGGCTGGTCTGCTGGAGGGAGGTTACCACGGCTGGTCTGCTGGAGGGAGGTTACCACGGCTGGTCTGCTGGAGGGAGGTTACCACGGTTGGTCTGCTGGAGGGTGGTTACCATGGCTAGCCTGTTGGAGGGAGGTTACCATGGCTAATCTGCTGGAGGGAGGATACCACGGCTGGTCTGCTGGATGGAGATAACCACGGTTGGTCTACTGGACGGTGGTTGCCAAGGTTGATCTGCTGGAGGGAGGTTACAATGGTTGGTCTACTAGAGGGAGGTTACCACGGTTGGTCTGCTGGAGAGAGGTTACCATGACTGGTCTGCTGGAGAGAGGGTACCAAGACTGGTCCGCTGGAGGGAAGTTACCATGGCTGGTCTGCTGGAGGGAGATTACCATGGCTGGTCTGCTGGAGGGAGGTTACCACGGTTGATCTACTGGAGGGAGGTTACCATGGTTGGTCTGCTGGAGGGAGGTTACCATGGTTGGTCTGCTGGAGGGAGGTTACCATGGTTGGTCTGCTGGAGGGAGGTTACCATGGTTGGTCTGCTGGAGGGAGGTTACCATGGTTGGTCTGCTGGAGGGAGGTTACCATGGTTGGTCTGCTGGAGGGAGGTTACCATGGTTGTATAACGGACTTATTTGGTAGACTGTAGAGCGGTGTTAATGATATACGTCTTCGGAGGCTTCTTACTTTATTGATAACTAGTGTTGGGTTACACAGGCTTGTGTGTTTGTGCCCATGGCCCTGGCAGGGCCATGCCCACGAGAGAGAGCTGGGAGGCCTTGTGTCTTGATGCCAGGCCGCTGTGTGAGTGAGAGTGAGGCAAGTCTGGGCATACTGAAGTGGCAAGGCCTATAGATGGCAGCACCTGAGTGGCGCGAAATATGAACTAAGCTGGCAGACAGCATGGGCTGTCTGTGCAGACAGTACAGGCTGTCTACATACGCTCGGCCACCTACCGCGCGTCGTCCCGACGCGACAATACTGGTAGTAAAAAACTCGGTCTCTCTCTCGTAGGAACAGGGCACAGAGAACACAAAATAAAAACATATATATACATATGGACATGGAAAAAAAAACTTCCTACAGGGAGGGAAGAAAAAAACATGTGGGGTGTGCTAAACATCGTGGTCAAAGGCAGTGAGCATCGAAGGGCATCACTGCATGCCTTCCTGCGTCTGGACAGATACTGCAACACGGGAGACATCGCTGCGGCTGAGCTGTGACGTAACAGGGTACGGTCTCCTCTGGAACGGTGAAGCAGACATCGTAGGAGTCGCTGCAGGTTTTCACTCAACCTAGGGCACGACATGCTGGTGCTCTCGAGTGAGGCGTCGACAAAACTCGGCAACTGGGCAGGACTTCTGGCAAGCGACTCGGGACACTTCTCGACTGGTACTGTCGCTGGGCTGTCACTGCCGGCGAGCGTGGAGCGAGTTGTGGAGCGAGTCGTGGCAGAGACGACTGGGCGAAACATCTGGGAGTCGTAACATCATACACCAGACTGCAGTGAGAGAGCTAGCAGTCAAAGTGACATCTTCTTTGTGCAGGCTGCTCACTGAAGCTTGTGACACGAGGCTGACACAGCGCCTGCCGACAGGCCTGGCTGCGGCTTGACGAGTATCATCTCTCGACAGTTGGAGTTATAGCAGAGGTTAGCCTAAGCGTCCCCAGACTTGTTTCTCTACATATAACTGCACTCTGACGGTCTGGAGGTGAAGTGAAACAAATCTCGATGGGAATCGTAGCAGGTACGATTCTGCAGAACAACACGAGCGATGAGCATAAAAGCTTTCTGTACAAGAGGGCTCGTATGCTCAGGGCTGAGTAATCAGCTGTCAAACACTGGTCACGTGGGTGACTTAGTGGTACAACTCAAGGGTCTGACCACAGACCTCACTGGACACACGGGAAACTTACAAACACACCGCTGTACATACGGTACAACATGGCTTAACTAGCAAATGATGCTTTTCTGCGCATAAAACTGACTAAGACATACTAAAATGTGAGAACACTGACTGAGAGGAATTAATTAACACACGACATATATCTTCTCTCAATCTTCTCGACAATACTGAAATAATTACTAGAACACTCGATGTGACATCATGTGATGTCAGGCGTGATGTCGCAAGGTGACGTCAGCAGCAGTGACGTCAACAGACATCTCGAGGTGAAGTCAGGCAGACATCGTGAGGTGACGTCAGCAGACATCGTGACGTCATGAAGTCGGGCAGCATCGTGGGTGACGTCAGCAGACATCTCGAGGTGACGTCAGGCAGACATCGTGAGGTGACGTCGATGTGATGCGGGCAGCAGACCACAGCATGAGGCCTGGGACATCTGGTAACTCACGTGGCTTTGTAGGTCTACGTGACATCGTCCACACCCACGTGACGTCGTGATCCACGTAGCTTCGAGTGGCCTCGGGCACTCGGATACACAGCACTGGCAATGAATTCATACGAAAAACAGCAGAAAACACAGCAGAGGGAGTGGGCAGTGGTGAGTGTATGGTAGTGTGGTGGCGAGGAGCATGCGTGAGTGTATGGCAGGGCGGGCATCTGGCCATTCCTCCTCCTCCTCCACCCACAAACACGTGGAGAAGCTCACACTGGACGCAGAAATCACCACAAAACTCACCTCTGGCTTGCTGAAACAGCTGTGCTGAGCTGAACAACAACAGCAACATACAAGTGACGCTGAACACGTGACTTGAGAAACAGCGTGGGGTCACTGGGACGCCACTTACAATTCTCGGAGAATTTCGGCAAATTTCGGCTGGATCCTGCTAGTACCTGTGTCTGGATGCTCAAACGTGCAGACACGACATCAGGATAACTCGTTGAGAGACAGATGGTTCTTGTGTAGGGTGATGAAGTGAAGATGACTTCATACCTCTTCCTCCTCCTCTCCAGGCAAACACAACTGCTGCGGAGCACCACTGTCACCATTTATAACGGACTTATTTGGTAGACTGTAGAGCGGTGTTAATGATATACGTCTTCGGAGGCTTCTTACTTTATTGATAACTAGTGTTGGGTTACACAGGCTTGTGTGTTTGTGCCCATGGCCCTGGCAGGGCCATGCCCACGAGAGAGCTGGGAGGCCTTGTGTCTTGATGCCAGGCCGCTGTGCGAGTGAGAGGCAAGTCTGGGCATACTGAAGTGGCAAGGCCTATAGATGGCAGCACCTGAGTGGCGCGAAATATGAACTAAGCTGGCAGACAGCATGGGCTGTCTGTGCAGACAGTACAGGCTGTCTACAGTTGGTCTGCTGGAGGGAGGTTACCATGGTTGGTCTGCTGGAGGGAGGTTACCATGGTTGGTCTGCTGGAGGGAGGTTACCATGGTTGGTCTGCTGGAGGGAGGTTACCATGGTTGGTCTGCTGGAGGGAGGTTACCATGGTTGGTCTGCTGGAGGGAGGTTACCATGGTT